CAGTTGGCCATCAGGCTCAGCATCTGCTTTGACAGTCTGCACGGCAGAGGCTTCCAGGGGCCCTGTGTGGCAGGTTCCGAGGTTGTTTCCTGTTTTCTTCTTCTGGCTTTCAGAGGCCCTCTGTAGCAGATTCCTAGGTTGTTTCCTGTTTTCTTTTTCTTCTGATGTCCATCCTCTTTGCTTTTCAGAATGGGGATTGAGCATTTTTAGTTAGAGTCCTCTCTTTTGCTTAGTTTGTTTAGATGTACAGATTTTAGTGGGTTCATTCTATGTTGTATGTTTATATGAGTGAGTATATACCGTGTGTGTCTTTTTGCTTCATAAAACCAGACACATTAAATTGGCTAGAAAAAAAAGTGGGGAATACCCTAGAACTCATTGGTACAGGAGAAAACTTCCTGAACAGAACACCAACAGCTCAGGCTCTAAGAGCAACAATCAATAAATGGGACCTCATGAAACTGAAAAGCTTCTGTAAAGCAAAGGATACCAAAAGGACACATCATCAAAACAAAGCGACTGCCTACAGATTGGGAAAGAATCTTCACCAACCCTTTATCTGACAGAAGGCTAATATCCAGTATATACAAAGAACTAAAGAAGCTGAAAAGCAGCAAACCAAGTAATCCACTTAAAAAATGGGGAACAGAGCTAAAGAGAGAACTCTCTGTAGACGAATATCGAATGGCAGAGAAGCACTTAAAGAAATGCTCAACCTCATTAGCCATTAGGGAAATGCAAATCAAAACAACCCTGAGATTTCACCTTACACCCATCAGAATGGCCAAGATGAAAAACTCAAGGGACAACACATGCTGGAGAGGTTGTGGAGAAAGGGGAACCCTTCTCCACTGCTGGTGGGAATGTAAACTGGTACAACCACTCTGGAAATCAATCTGGCGCTTTCTCAGACAACTAGGAATAGCGCTTCCTCAAGATCCAGCCATACCACTCCTAGGCATATACCCAAAAGAGGCGCAAGTACACAAAAAGGACATTTGCTCAACCATGTTTGTAGCAGCTTTATTTGTAATAGCCAGAAGCTGGAAACAGCCCAGATGCCCCTCAACTGAAGAATGGATGCAGAAACTGTGGTACATCTATACAATGGAGTGTTACTCAGCAATGAAAAATAAGGAAATCATGAAATTTGCAGGTAAATGGTGGGACCTGGAAAGGATCATCCTGAGTGAGTTGTCCCAGATGCAAAAAGACATACACAGTACATACTCACTTATATAAACATACAACATAGAAATCTTAAAAATTAGAAATAAACTTTAAAGTTTACTGACTGATGTTCAATGCACAAGGACTGGAACTGTTGCCTTCCATTGAAAGATAGTCAACAGTTGAATACACAAATGAGAGCCATACATTCAAGTTATACTGTGTGGTGCTATAGACAGTAAATCAGGATAAAAAGTAAGAAAATGGAATGAAGGAGGAATAACTCTTTTCGTATACAAGTTTCAAAAACAGAGATAGTCAGGTTTGGGCACTTCTGAACATGAAAATCCATAAAATTATATGGCAGAGGTAACACCAAAATTCACAATATAAGGACATTTGAAGATGAAAACTTTGGATATGATTGATGGAACAGTGGTTAAAGGCTCCCACTGCCAAGTCTGAACACCTGAATTTGATAAAAGACTATTAGGTATTGCTGTGTGTCTTGCCAGTATTGATCTACTTCGTTTTTATGGAACTGTTATTATTATTATTCCTGTCTTCATATTTGTCTATATTTCAGGAAAAGGTCACCAAGTCCCATCGTGGTTTTATTCTGTCCCCAGACCGGAATGCTGGGAGGTGGCTGTGTCAGACTGTCTTGAGTCAATTTTTTCCTCTTCAATATCTTGCTGTTCATCCATTCTTGGAAAGGGCTTCTAGAAGGCCCATGAGCCCTAAGGTTGTTAGCTTCAGATTTGGAGAGAGAGAGAGAGAGAGAGAGAGAGAGAGAGAGACTCAAGCGATAGAGTGTGGAACACACATTGTTCTTAGAAGGAGCCACTCATCCTTTCTTCCCATCCCACTGACACTCTGCACTTTCTGGGGCCTGAAACATGGCATTTTCCCACCTCTTCCATTCTCAGGCTATGGGGCTAGAGAAAAAGAGGCATGATCTCTGCTTACAAGCCTTGCCCAGTGCCTTCTCCCTAAAGAAATCTCCTTTTCCTTTTCTGTAGCACCTCTGTCTTCAAAACATAATGTAGAAAGACCATACTCTTTACATTTACCCAATATCTTCTCATAGAGATAATTACCCAACCCCCATGTCATTTTCCCCCGATCACATGGTTTATCTGTACTCTTCCTGTCCTGGTAAAACAGGAACATAATTAGTTCTGCTCCAAACATAGCCTCTAATTTCCTTTTCTCAATATTTTTGAATTCTACTCTTTCATACACTTATTCCCTCTGTAATTTCTTAATCTTGCCATCATTATATGGAATCTGTTACTTCAGGAACTTCATGCCTCCTTATCTCCTGGCCTTCTATTTCATTCTCTGCGGTACCCAACTGGAATGGGATCTCATAGTGAACTGATGGCTGTTCATCTACCCTGTTCCTCACTCTTCATCTGTCTCTGTCACAGCCCATCATTGACAACAGTCTCCTGGGCATAGACTCAGCTTCCTTGTCCTCTTTTATACTCTTGATAAAGTTCTACCTTTCGGAAATTCAGTTCCTTTTCTGGTTTGCGATGGAATCAGCAAAGGTTGGAGAACACTTGCCACACTGTCCAATGTCTCTAAACTGTGAGTGCTCAAAACCTGGACTCAACGGTCCTGCCAGTGAAACTGCCACATGTGCCTGCCCTGTTCACACATCTGCTTTCCTTAATTACAACATTAGGCCCTTTCTTTTTTTCACAAATATCCAACTCTCTATTTTATTCTGAACCGATAAAGCTGTGCCTTATTTCACTGAAATGAGAAATGGCATTTCTCGGCTCCTGGCTTTTCTGTGTCCAGGCCCTCTGGCTTCTGTGACCAAGAGTGGACTACGTGAGACAAGCCCCTCACTTGGTAGTAGATCCTCAGCCTCACTAACCTAAGCATGATTCATTTCTTTGTTCATTAGACAGTCCCTCTCCTAGACCTTTCCCATCTGCATGCAGGTGTGATGGCATTTCAGACACCACTGAAGAGAACCTCTGACAATAAAGCTTGGGCACAGGAAAGCCTTTGTGTCCCCACACTCTGGTGCTTTGCTCATCTGCACTTTGATGCATCTACTTAGCAGCATCAGTTTAACAACTTGGGTGTGTCCCTCATCAGACACGAGGAGGATCAGCAGTAGCCACGTCAACGGTATATAAAACAAGCATGTAACAACACTGCAAGGGCTCTGACATCTAAATCATTATTTAGACTCTAAACTAGTTCGGTAACAGTAGGTTGAATGCTTTCTAAATTACAAGGATTGAATAGGGCACACAGAGTCCTAAAGTAACAGCCAAATCAAAGAGGACACAATTTTATAAAATACCATTCATACCTGGAACCAGAAAGTCAACCAATGTCTGCATGAGGTAACACAGATAGTAGAGTGACCTGGGTAGGAATTAAAGCAGTCATCATAAAAATGCTTTCTTAAGTAATTACACATTCCTTGGTAACATGTAAACATTCAAAATAATAACAATAAACATAAACTATAGGGACAACATGAGAACTATAGCACTAATAAAATCATTTTCAGAAATAAAAATAGTGTAACCTTAACAGTAGATCAGAGATAACAGAAGATGGGATTACAGGACGGTGGGGTAGCAGTTCCTTTTGAATTGGCCTGTTCTGAACAACCAAAAGGAAATGGACGTAAAAAATATTATACAAGGTCTGGAGATACTGCCCAGAGATTAAGAACATTTGCTGCTCTTGCAGGGAACATGGGCTTAGTTCTCACATCAAGCTGGTCACATCTACCTGTGCCAAAAGCTCCAAGGGAGCCGATGTTAAGTTTCAAGAGGGAAGGGAAAAGTGAGTAGGTGAAAAGGAATTAGAAAGGGTGATAGCTGAAAACTTGCCGAGCAGCTAGAAACTGAGGAAAAACAGGTACGACAATCCGGAGGCATTTTACACAAAAACCATCTTCCAGCATCAGAGAAGTATTTTCAAACAAAAATTTTTATTTTTGTTTTATGTGTTTGGTGTTTGCCTGCATGTGTATCTGTGCACCACGTGTGTGCCTGGTGCTGATAGAGGCCAGAAGGTGTTGGAGCCCAGGCAGCTGGAGCTGCAGATGGTTGTGAGCTGCCATACAGGTGCTGGTCGCTGAAACCTGCTCCTCAGCCAGAGCAGCGACTGTTAACTGTGGAGCCATCTCTTCTGCCCCCAAAGAAAGACTCTGAAAAGCAGGCTGAGATAAATATCAAACTGCCTGTGCGGAAACAATCCTTAGAATGGCAATGGGGTTTCCATCTAAAAATATGAGAGGGAAAAGAAGTATCCCAAGTAAATCGACCATAAGCTACATACCTAGTGAAATTGTCTCCAGCACAATTGTCTCCTAGGGTAAGAGTGAATGAAATTCCTCACAGAGAAGTGACAAGAGGGGCTCTTGGAACATCCGGCAAGAGGGAGGGTGAAACACAAAATATGAGTGCATGCAGTGGATTAGTTCCGACTTTGGTGAATTAAATAAGATGCCATCAATTCTCCAACACTCGTGCCTTGCTTGACATCCTCTTGTAGAAATCAGAGGATAACCTAGACTTTCTAGCTCTTACTGGATCAGAAAAGCTATTAACTGCATGTATCTCATGACCGCAATCAGCAGAAGCGCTTCAGAGGGCAAGAGTTTTCACCCCAACACTGGGCAAGAGTTGAGGATCAGGGGATGTTTCAGGAACACGTTACTTCATTATCCCTGGGAAAACAAGTGGTGTGCAGTATGTCTGTGTGACACAGTAGTGCACCGAGTGTGTGTCGGTTTGGTAGATTTTCATTACCGATCACAGCTGACGAACCTATTGATATTTCTTCAGCTTAAAGATGGAGCCCAAGACTAAAGGATTAAAGCAGCAGCAGCAGCGGCACAAGAAACTCCTGGCTGCGATGCTTTCCCAGGATTCCTTCGAGTCCATCCACAGCCCCACACCATCTGTAACGGAAGAAGACATTGATAATGAAGATGATGCAGTGGAGTTGCTGGGTAATTTTAAAAATTAATAATTTCTCTTTCTTGTCTTTTCTCACCTTGTAAAAAAAAAAGTGTCCCGGAATGGAGGGATTTTAAACGTTTTGAATAGTTTCGTCTAAGGCAAAGGGAACTCTTTAAACTGCGCTTTCTTTTCATTAGAGCTCTATGAAGTTGCATGTAAGAACTGAGCTGGACCCACGGAGAGCATGTGAAGTACTCCCTACACTGTACCGTATGCTTTGTCTATGCAGCACTCTGTTTGCTGACTTTATCAAGCTTTACTCTGTGTGCAACTGTACAAAAAAAAAAAAGAAGAGAAAATCTGTCTGTTCTATTTTCCTGATTACACCTATTGTCTATAAAATACACCCTCTTCCTGAGAAGTCCCTGTGATTAAGGTTGCTTTAGAAAAATAGAGTTGAAAGATGGTGACAGTAAATTAATGTTTGATGACTTTCATAAATGGTAGGAAGCTTTTCAGAGATTTCAAAGTCTACAGAGACTCATTACCTTCACATAATTTCATTAATATTATAGATATAGTTTTTATCTATTTTTTATTTTTAGTGATTCAAGTATGTCATACTATTTCAATAGAAATATCTTAATATAGACTGTTAATTGAAACTCACTTTGAAAAAAAACTTTTTTTTTAGGGGACAGTATTTCTCTGTTCAGTCCTGGCTGTCCTGGAACTCACTCTGTAGACCAGGCTGACCTCAAACTCAGAGGTTTTCCTGCCTCTACCTCTCAAGTGCTGGGATTAAAAGTGTGTACCAGTATGCCTGGCTGGAAAATTGTTTTTTCCAAAGCACATAAAGTTTTTTTTGCAAGAAACCCACATGAAAAATGATACATTGTTAACTGACTGGTACTAAATATTCTATTATAGAGAATTAAAACAATTTGTGTATGCTTTTATGACCACATTCCATTATATTTAAACTAAAATAAAGAAGAAACAATGTAATTACATGTAGAATATGGATGCACAGAAAAAATATTTTATTTAAAGTTCTAGACAAGATTTCTTGGAATTAAGTGTTGAGGCCAGTGAATTGGTTTCTATAATAAATGATAGGTCTCTAGGCATACAGCTATAATGCCGTTATTCAGTCAATGATGGCAGGGTTGAAGATGTCGTCTAATGGTCTAATAGCTACCTTGAGTCTAGAAATAAGGAGACTAGGTTATGACACTTTTCATTAGATACTATTGGCCCTTGTTTTCCTTTAAGCAATTAAGTCTTGCTTCCCTAGGTCCAAATCGTTAAAGTGGCAGCACTTCTGGCCTAGGTCCAAATCGTTAAAGTGGCAGCACTTCTGGGTGTTGCCATGGTACTTTCATCCATCCTCACCCACTACAGAGGACTTTGACCCAACATCATAAAATAAAACCATTTCTGTTTGCAGGATTTTTGCAGTCAGGTTAGAAATGTAAGCTCACCACCTCCATCATGTTCTTCACCTATGTTATAACAGTTGTACATAGCAGTTATAACAGTTGTACATACTCCTAGCATACAAGTGAGGGCAGAGGTCACGGCAGGCTTCTTTGGAGAAGCTGGTTCCTCTGCTCAGTCCTGCAGGATGAGGGGTTGGAAACTTGGAAGGTGGACTCCTAGACTGCTGGGAGGTTGTCTGCATGGATATGGGGTCTTTTTATCACTGTGCCTATGAATTGCTCCCCTGCTGGCCAGTGACAGAGAAAGTGATGAGCCAGGGACTCTTAGGAGATCCACTTCATGCTGACCTACACTGCTCAGAAGTTTCTAGCTTTCTAAGCTGAAGACCGGAGGGTTGTTGGGTCATGGAGGAGCCTCGTGATGAGCCCTTAACAACTGGTTCTCGTCCATTTTTCTTCTCCTCTTAGATATTTAGCCTGCACTTTGAGCAGGCTTAATGAAAACGAATGCTAAAGAACAGTGGACGTTTTAGACTTTGTCTGTGTTATCTCACATATGTCAGCCTTGGTGGCCGAAAGTGAGGCTACGCTCTAACTGGTGAGCATTCCCTGTGAGAGCATGCCACGTTCAAGCATGCACACAGTAGTATCCTTAGATAACTCCACGTGCATTTTCTGTGGTTTAGGAAAGGACTGCAGAGAAGTCTGTGATTGCGTCTATCTGTTAATGCCTTGAGATCTTGTGTGAAATCAAAATTTAGTGCTTAGAATCATTGTTAAGGTGTAGCAGATATTGGTGTTTAAACAATCTCTGGGGATCTATCTACATTGGGTTTTAGAATGAGTTTGTTGTAATGTGTTTGTAAGGGCTTATGTTTTCATTATCTATGCTCTCGTAAAATTAGCTGAAAATGTATTATGCATGGAAAGTAATGTGTATACATGAATCAATAAGTAAAATATATGATTTTAGCTAATAGTAACATAAAAATTAGTTACTCATAAATAAAATTGGTTGACTTAAAAAGGTAATCTTTTAGTGAAAATAGTATATATAAATAAAATTTACTGTTCTTTTTGTCTTTACTGAAATGTACTGTTGTTACTATATGCTGATTATATATTCATAGTTGTTTAATCATGTCTGTGGTTTTATTTATAAATATATTAAGCATGTAAAAACATATTTTAGGATCCACTTTATATTAATTTCTGTAAGATTACTTTAACTCCTACTAAGAAATCCATAGTATAGAAATAGTATAGAAATAACTCCTTATGAAATCAATATCAGCTATCAAAGAGTGCATTATTTGAACTTGGAGTTTTAAAAAGACGTCTCTGAAATTGGCTCTAGATATACAAAATGCAGAATAAGAACATATTCCAATTCATAATAGAGGATACCGTTCTCAACCATAAATGTAAGACATTCTCAATGATTTTGGTGATTATACTGTACATAATAATCAGTCATTATAACAGAGAATCATTACAGAAAATTATCACATATCCTAAACATGTACTAAAGTCAAAAGTTTTTCAAAAATGGTATGAGACAAGATGAATTTCCCAAAAACTTCTATCTGTTTTCTTCCTTTATCCTCACAGGAATTTTGAAGAACTGTTAAAGGACATTTAACTGTGTTAACATCATCCCATTTTCTTTATGTTGCATGTTTTCATCATCATGTTATAATTCTATGACAGTAACGTGTGTTTGACTTCTTTTTATGCAGTTCATACTGATTTATACCCATTAAAATCTGAACTAAAGGCACAACTACTTTATTTATTACACACTTTAGTTCTAACTATTACTTATAAAATATTTTAGGCCTTCTTAGGTTTGATAACGAATGAACTATCTAAAAATCATAATCAAGAGATGCCAAAGCCATTTATCATACTTGCTTATACTTTTTGACCTTAGCTAAGAATCATATACATTTAAATTTAAAGCTAACTCTGCATTGCCTCAAACAAACAAGATTGTGGTACATTTATTTAACTTGTTTTAAGTTAAATATTTAAGAAATAGTATAATTAAAGTATTATTCCTTACTAAATGCAGTTCCTAGGGCTCCAATATCCTATCAAATAAATAAATGCTTATTAATGAAATACAGAGTAAAATTACTACAGGGACTAATTAAGGTGAGATTTTTTTTTTTTTTTGGCAATTCTGCATTGTGATGAGCTTTTCGTAAGATAAGCATTTACTGTCAGGTGTTTGGTTAATTTGGAAGCTTTTTTTCCAACAGAATTTTAAAATATTTACAAGTAAGTACGAATGGATCATTGCATCTGATGAGTGATGGATGCTGGCACTGTGGCAAGAATTAAAAAAGGCCATAAAACTAGTTTATTCTTTACTGACATCAGCAAACTAGTCTTGAGAAGAGGCCATCAACACAAGCCTCATTTGTCAGAAAACAAAGTTGTCACTTTAAAAGAAACTAAAATTCTTCACAACAATGATTCTTTATAAAAATTCTAAAGACTTTCTTTCTTTTTTCCTTTTTTTTTTTTTTTTTTTTTTTTCTTGAGGTAGGGTTTCTCTGTGTAGCCTTGGTTGTCCAGGATTCACTCTGTAGACCAGCCTGGCCTCGAACTCACAGAAATCCTCCTGCCTCTGCCTCTCAAGTGCTGGGATTACAGGCATGCACCACCACTCCAGGCAAAAAATTCTAAAGTCTTTCAAACATTAAACCACTGGATGTTTTAATATTACCTGTGAAATTGCTAAAAATGTCAATTCATTCAGTATAGCATAAAAGCAAGTTAATCTAAATTAGTGCCCATTATATGCCTAACATATGCCAAAAAGGGAGTATTTTAAGACATAATAATTAAAACACTCAGAAGGTTAATTTTAAGGTATTGAAAAAAAAGTTGCCTCGATCCATGTAGGATTTATCTTCACATGTAATATATTCTGGCAAATTCTGTTAATTATTCAGCAGCCGATTACCACAATTATCCAAGCCTTATAGAGAAGCTGCATATAGATTTTTACAAGTTCACTAAATCAATCAGTGCAGTGGAAAACCTAGGACATCCTGAAGTTGTGTGAGGTAGCTGTCACATGTTAAATACCTCTCCTGTGCCAGAAGGTCTGGAGAATGCCCACTCCCGTGTTGGCGTTTGTGCTTCTGAGTTGTGACCTCTGCTGGCGTGCGAGTCGTCACTGCCTGCGTGAATGCCACGTAGACACAGTCACTGTGGGTTCCACAGCCTTGGATCCTGAACTTGCCTCTTCCCGTTAGCATGCTGTCTTAGAAAATATATTCCAGCAGGTGCTTTCATAGGGCAAACTGCTGGGCAAGCATGTTAGCACACAACACGAGGAATGTTATATCTTACATTTAACTTTGAAAGGTCATTTGATCTTTTGGAGTTTAGAGATAATTGTGAATATTATGGGAAAGCAGGTGGCCACTCCCCATATCCCAAGTCATTCATTCGGTCTTAGCAGGCTCCCTTCCTAAGTGTGTACCTTCATTTACAGGGTGAGTTTGAAAGTTTGCCAAGGTTCAGAGTTGAACAAATATGCCTGGATTACAGGTGTTGATTCTCCGGGTTTACTTTGCTTGAGAATCACCAAA